TAATACACAATCATGTATTTATTACTGCGATAATGTCCGTGATTAAACATGTATATTAAACATATTTGCCAAATATTACAATCGAAATTTTATAACAGTGATAATAAGTTTATCGATTTCCTTACTATAGCATTGCCATTATAAGGCATTAGTTTTGGTCACTAGACCTTTTAAGGAAAATCTATTGAAAGGGTAATAATTTGCTTTTTTCTGTAGCCTTAGGATTATAGGTTTTACTTTATCTTTACCTATTCTACTCTTGTCTATATTATAAGTATCGACTTGTAGCTGAATTCCAAGATGTCATTTTTACTACTTGGCTTTTCTGTTCTTTAATTGCTATCCAGATGGAACTATAGTTCCTGTTGCAGTTTATAATAACAGTAAGCACACTCTAACATGGAAAAGTCAATTTCGATGGAGAAGTAAGTTTCAATAAGAAAAAGACTTTCGCTCTTATCGGTATAGATAATATTTACTCGAATTGAGCAAGAATGTTGGACAAAACGGACTACGAAACTTTCATCAAAACAAATAAACATTGATGCTGATCTTATTGTAGTGATGCACCCTATATTTGCTTGTAGCGATAGCTATATTTGATTGTGTTGTGTACTATATTTAGAATAGTTAAGTTTCTAAAAATAGATATTCTTGTGCTGCTAGATTTAGGTGACTGGTAACTACTATATTAGAAAGTGTTATTCACTAATATAGCTGTTAACTAATTATGGTACAGGACGTTATACGACTTGAAATACTAAGATTGTAAAGATGCCCAATACCTTACGGTGTTGGACATTAATGGTAAAGTAATAATATTGTAAGCAGTTTGATTAATACTGTAAAATGTAGTGATGATTCATGTCTGATTGTAGACGATGTTATTGCCTTAAATAGATTCAGAGAAAAGTATATAAGGTGTACAAATCTGAGCGTAAAGGAGGAAAAAGATTTGATATCTAATTGAGCTCAGATTACTTTAGACTAGATTCTTGTGAGTAATTAATTATTGCTGTACTATTCTTTAGAACCTTGTAATAAAAAGCTTTTATAGTACTGGATTCCTCTGTGGACTAAAATTACTGTGGAAACGATATTACACTTATCTATGAATATTATTATGTCATGTAGGCAAGGTAGTGTTGATTAGTCAATCTGTTAAGGCTGTTTCTAAAAAATTGTCTCTTATATAATTGGAAAATTTAACTTATTTGGACATAGTTCGAAAAGAGATCGATCTTGAAGCTACAATGCATAAGGATAAAGACTGAATCACTTTACTTTTTAGAAGGATATCGAACTTTATTATATAAGAGTCTATAATGCCCTCTACATGCATATAATAATAATAGTACTATGCTGATTCTAATAAATAATATGACTAGTTATGCAATAACCGCAAACAATTTATTATAAATAAATATCATGAATTACATCACGGATTAAGCATTGCCAGTAATCATATTGAATTTATAAGTATCAACAGCAATAGGCAACAATTTCATCGAATAACTATCACTGTATCTAAACACATTTAAGCCTATTTGAGGCTTCTAAATGAATCATATTTTACTCGTATGTACAAGAATAGTTCAAGAAGAATAAAACGCCAACTACAAGTTATCTTGCAATATATAACTTATGCAAATAGTTTCTGTAGAAAGTTTAATCAATGAGTTATCTTAATAACTAATGATGGTGCAAATTTTTAGTTCCTGAGTATGTCATTGAAATTATTTAATTTTAGCTCAGTAAAATTGACTTCTCCAAGAATCAAATATATGGTTTGTTCTGGTGCTATGGTTATATCAGCCAGCCTAATTTTATACGGTATCTACGAAATGAATAAAAGTGCTTGGAAAAATAGTGTGATTGCCACGACGTTATGCGAGGTTCTATGAGCATCTACTCATTGCACGTATAATTCTTCTTCATAGACCTACTAAAAATGCATAGGCAAACAGATCACCGTCTATTTAAATTGTACTTGAGTTTCTAAATTTAGCAAACGTATAATGTGCTTGTAGTTGAGGAAGTGGCTACTGCCAGCGGGTTTTACTGCAGCCTATGCAGCTTTAGTATTGAAAACTTTCCGAATTTACTTAATCTATTCCAGTGTTATTGCCAAGCCAAGACGCAAAGTGAGTTATATTAAGCTTTATCATGATATTGCAGAAATATTAAATGTTAATAATACATGCGGTAGTAAGATTAAGTTTAAATACCATTAGAATGTCATTAAACTGTAGTAAGGAAGATTAGAAAGAAACACGTAACATGTTCAATATTCAATTTCACCTGTTAACCTCTGTTAGTAATTACTGGATAAGACGCTGATCAAATTGGTCATTCTCTTACTCCTCACTGATATCGTCTATCTCAGTCTTTGGTCAGCATTTGATCGGCTAAAATCAACAATAGCAACAATTAAAACAGAGGTCATTAACAAGAATATTAAAATTTGTTTATGTCCATCTTTCATCATATGCACATAACAATATGTAGTCTACTTATGTATGAACTATCAAAGTAAGTTCTATACAACCGTAATGTAAGCTCATCCTGCTCTCCGATTAAAGGACAATAACGTAAATTGCATAATATAGATTTGGAGATACAAGATTATTTACTAAAAGAATGCACTAAGCTACAATTCAACGGAACAAAACATTAATTTAAATAGTTTCGAATTAAGCACTATTGTCCACGTGTTACATGGAACAAATTATGTTTTAAGCGAATTCTTAACAATAAGCTTGAATTTTGTCTGAATAGAATTCTATATGCATGATAGTACATTTAGGTAGTAGATACCTTTTGCATAATACCAGCAGTAAATACGTAATAGCTATCTACTGCATAATCGTATGCAATACTAGATAAACATGATAGTACATATTTAAGTATTAGATATATCTCGCAAAATAACAACTCTAGGTATGTAATAGCTATCTACTGTCATCATCATGTATAATAGCAGATAAGCATGATACCTTGTAAAATAATGAAGAAGAAAAGATGGCGACATGATTTGGCAGGGTAAAACTTAAAGACACTATCACTTTATAGGTATTTTCTATAGTGAAATAATACTAGTTACATATTAAAAGCTATAAAGGACTCTACTTTTAGTCCTTTACTACACTTGGCTTTACTGACAACTATTGTATTTTATAACGCTCTTCATTTTATCGAAAAAGAATTTTGACATAATATTGTCACTGCGAAGCTTTTTATTTAAATTCTTTCCGGTACATTACCATTTAAGGATAATTTTGTATTTTCTTTATTATGATCAAGTATAATCCCATTAAAATAGGTCTCAAATTAAACGCATATCAAACGACTAGCGACATAGGATACCACGTTGATCGATTCATTGCTTTTAGCAATATTATACGTATATGGTCTTACTTTACGCCGGATAAATTGAAGTTGTAATGCAAGAATAGCAAAAATATGAATATTCATGCTTTCATAGAAGTTACTAGGGATATTATTTGATAGGAATTAGGAACTGAAGATCATCGAAAAGTTGAAGAACAGAGCATAGATCAAGATCCATCACATTAATCGATAAATTAGACTGTTTATTTATTTATTCATTAATTTATGCAAATGTTGAAATTAAAACTTTATCTGGCTTGAATGAATCAATCTATCTTAATCTTATTCTAATTATTGCTGCTATTCAATTCTACGCGTATTTCATTCTCATAAACGATATTCGATTGATGGTACAGAATTGATTATTCATCAAGAAAGAGTTTTACAATAATAAAGAATCTCTGAATGATTTAGATTGCTTTATCTCGTTACACCTGTCATGCTAATTCAGTAAAAAACAAATCTTAAATTGGATATAAGACAGATTGAACTTGATGTTTCTATCTGAGGGCTTGCAATAATTTCGATTATTCTTTGATCAAAATAATTATTAAAGGTATGTTTATGAAATAGTTCTACCCATTGTGAGCATAATTCAGATAAGTAATTTAACGGTAAAAAATCGGCTAGCTATGAAATAGAAATGATCTGGGAATCAACCTGCTCCCTTAATAAGCTAAAATTTCTAAGTTGAAGCATCATCTGTATTATCTCAAAATGTACCGTTTTAGCACATCTCCGAGCTTGAACATCTCAAATCGCTCCGTCATGAAAAGATAATAAATTGGATGTTCAGTAGCTATTTATTTTATAATGTTATTTTCATGTTGATCCTCTGCAATACCAAAAACTAAATTAATAAAGCTGAGCAGATTGTTCTATTTTTAAGCTTTTATTCCATTTATTTCATCAACATGTACGTAATTGATTAACAGCCTAATTAATCATTTATTCTTGATTTATAATTTAATATCTGCGCTACCTCAACAACATTACAATATCCTAATTTGATAGTGCTAGTATCCAATCAATAACGTAAATTGTTCTTACTCCAATGTAGAAGTGAAATTTAATTATTCGTGATATCCATTTTCCATATTCCGCTAATTTTCGTCAATTATCACGTGGTAATGGAGTAATTGATATCTATTAACGCTTTATACCTTATTAATGATATTTACATCTTGAAATAGAATACTGATTCACTTCAACTTAGCACATGATCTAATTTTGTGACATGATACAGAATTGGATGCCCAACTAGTACATAAAATAATTATACTTTTCGAACAATTCTTGCTTTCTTCCTCTTTTACTATTGTCTACGCTTAAACTCCAGTCTATAAAATTAAAGTAAAATGGAATATCTATAAGTTATCTATATCAGTGTCTGTTAGCGAGATAATGGTATTTAAGTAGTTGTCAGCAAAAATTAAAGGTGAACATATCGGAAGAAAGTCAGAAATACGTCAAGATAGTGTGTTACAGTATTATTAGAGAAAAATTTCTTCTTTCAATTTATAAACTTTCCGGTATCAATCTATCAAATTGTCCTTCAACTTTCAGGTTTTGATTAATATTACTCTCTTGGGGAAATAGCGTTCGCCGTGATGATAATTTATCTGCTTTCTAAATTTGTGTTACTGGCCGCAATACCGATAGCAGCTTTATGCGCTAAGAACAAAGTGCTCCATTTGGGAGGCTTTATACCAATGGATGTTTCTTTGTCAGGTGGTTGGTCAGCTAGTGGTATCTTACCTGCCCTACAAATGGGATTTTTCGACATTAATCAGCGCCGAGATATTTTGCCTGATTACCAATTAAACGCCACTTGGGGTGATACTCACGTAAGTGTAATATAAATGAGAAAAAATCCAAATCGCATTCATCCTATGACAACATCGTTGTGTTAATACGATATTTTGAATATTTTAGTAAATTTCAAAGTCTTTAAAGAGGACTATGACGGTTTTACCGTTACAATATTTTTAATTCAAGTAAAAGTCTTCAACTGAGTTATCATGATCATCTGTACTAATCATAAATATAAAATTATTTTGTCCTACTTAACTGAAATTCTTTTCCTCAGTTTTATATCCATAGAAAGTTAACTAACACAAAATTGATATTTGAATAGTTTACAATCTTACATATTTCCATTTTACTGAACATTTTATGTAGTGGAATCACTCTAAAGCATATTAAGTTGTTTTCTAGAAAGCGTACCGAAATTATCTATACGTATTTGCATATGAAAGTCTAATTTATAGACGAGTAGTCGATTATTTTTCGACATCGTGAGCATGGTAGTTGTCATATAAGATATTGTATGCAGCGTTTCTGTGATAATAGTAGTTGACTATAAAAGGATTACTTTAAAATAGTCCTGAATATTATTGTCTAGCTATTTCTACATTTGAAAGTATTAATTGAAGCATTTCATTTGACCTCCAATTGCATCGACTTTTTTCTATACGTACTATTAAATGCCGAACTAGAATATCAATATCCCCGTTTTTTTGTGTATAACTTTTACAATTAATATTTCTATGATACTGATAGCTATCCAGAGATTGCTTAATTAAGTCAACACTAGATATCATGGCCATCAGTATAATTATTAAGAAATTTCCTTGATATGACAATTTTCGTCAAATATCGGCTGAAATTAGCAATAACTATATCGTTATAATTTATTACACTGTTCTTAAGTATTAAATATTTTATCTACATATACTTATACTTTATACGATATAGTGTCTGGCTGGTGCTGCTACTAAATTATTCGTTAAAACTATAACAAATCCTGTCACCAAAATTCTTCTCGTTGGCGATGGCTGTTCAAGCTCAACTCAACCGATTGCAGAAGTTATACCATTCTATAACTTGGTTATGGTAAATAATAGGAAATAATAAAATTAATTCTTAATTTTAAGAATATATTGTCCACACATTACCTTGGAAAGATACTACTCTCAATTATGCACGTTCATTTTTTTTAAGATTCCGATTTACTGCATTTTTAATTCTTCCGTGCTAGGAAGTATAAATACCCAGTTTGATATTAATTAAATCACAGTATAAATAGGTCTGCTTAAGTTAAAATAGAAATTAATACCTTTACAGCGATTACAAAAAATGAATGCTTGAATAATTATACAGTTTTCAGTAGATACAGTAGCAATAGGCGATTTACCAGAAAATCTTTTGTATGATCAGTAATTACTTTAGCTATTAATGAATAATTAGCAATAATTACAAATGTAGCGATTACCATAAAATGGGCTAGCATACTAATCTACTGACCCTTTTTAATCATAATATGGAAGTTAAAAGACGATAACTATAGATCTTTCATACAAACACTAACTATACTAGCCATGCAAGTTAGATAATTAACTGTGATTGTAAATGCTATGATTGTTCTAAGATAAGCAAGTATATTGATCTATTGACCATTTCTGTTCACAATACTGAAGTTAAAAATTTATAAATCTTACAGGTTACTTTACTAACTTTACTTTACTATGCATTAATTCGTAGCAATCGATATTTATAAAAAGTAATATTAATACTAAAAATCGTTAAACGATATTACTCATAGCGCTTTCTGATGCCGTAGCATTGTAACATTGAATGATTCCCAGCCGTAAATGTACAAGTTAACATATACAATGTTTTGAAAGGTTTAGGGTCCGCCATAATCGCAACTAAATTACTAGCATTAAATTAGCGTCGAAGTAGTGTTCATTGGTATTACTGCGAGAGGAAAACCGTGTGAGGTTATAGCGCGTACAACGATGTGACTAGTCGAATAGCTATAGTAATGTAGAACAGGTAAAGCGTGTAAGCTTACCATGTAATTAGTAGAAGTAACTAACGAGATAGATGCAAGATTAGCGCTTTTATAATGTAAGACACACAGCAGAAGGAAATCATTCGCGAAACACGAATAACTATTTAGAATAGCATAATTCTATATTAGGGTAGTTCTACGATACAATCAAGCTAGAGTATAAGAGATTTCCACAGTATGAATAGTTAAATGTAGACTATACAAGTAAGGAGTCACGTTACAGTCTACGTGGAAATTAAATTTACTAAGAATAGAATGTACCGTATTTAGTAGTATACACTACATTATAGGCGAGAAGGATCTAAGTTAAACTAAATTATTAGGAGAACACTATTCAATTTTAGATCTATTACTTGGTGTCTATTTTTATTTCTCAACATACGCTATGAATATTTTAAACTGTTGCATGAATTCTATTCCGTGATCAATCAAAAAATAAAATAACAAAATCATAAATTTTAAATTTATTAATTTACTTTTAAAGCCTATTATTACATTTTTAAATTATTTAACGCAGTATTTAATATTAAATATTTATCCACTTTTATTCCAAAGTAGACGGTTATAGCAAGCACTTGTGAATAATTCTAATATAGACCATAACTCTTAGTTTATTTCAAGATCTGGTATTCAATTTCCAAAATGTATATCATTAACACATTTAAGATTTTTCAGTGATTTACCACACTATATTACAGAGGTCAATCTTGAACAAATGTTACTTTTCCGTTTCATGCCAGCGATTCCATCATAAATTTAAATCTTTAAATTCAGTACTTCCTAAATTTTAAACATGCTATTTAACATTTAAATATCCGGCTGCTTCTATTTTAGAGTGGACTATCAGAGCGAATACTTACAAATAATTTCAATTTCAATCACAATTTTTAATTTGCTCCTAGATTTGATATTCAATTTCCAAGAAAGATATTGTTAATATAGTTGCAATTTTCTGATTTTTATCCTACAGTGTTGTAAAGGTCAATTTTTAACAACTTTTATTTTCCTTTCATATCTGTCATTCAATCATAAATTTAAATCTTTGAATTTAGTACTTCCTAATTTTTTAATCATGCTATTTAATAATTAATAAGTATGCGGTCGATTTTATTTTGGAACGGATATCAGAGCAAATGCTTATGAATAGTTTCAATTTCCAACCACAATTTTTAGTTTACTGCTGGATTTGGTAGTCAATTTCCATATAAGATATTGTCAAGATTAACATAATTTTTCTGATGATTAATCCTGCTGCATTAGGTCGATTTTGAGCAACTTTTGCTTTCTCATTAATGTCTTCCATCCTATCAATTTCGCGTTACGGATGGAAAACTTTAAGTTCAGTATTTTCTTATTTGTTACTATAGGAAACCATAAAGGGCAATTGATAGAAATGTTGTCCGATTTTAAACTTTCGTTTTACCTTACTTTAGAGGCTTAGTATGGATTTCTTCTTTTTTGATGTAATATTGAATAGTTTTCAAGTGTCGCTACAGTTAGCCTAGTTTTGATTTAGAACGGATAGTTTTAGCAGCTATAGTCGTCGAATGTCTCCTAATATTAGATGTTATAACAGTACTTATTCATATCTTAAAGATTCATAAACTAAAAGCGATTGAATACCGAATCGATAATCTTAGCCGTATATTAGCAAAATTGTAATGGAATACTCTATGGAATCGCTTGAAGATTTACTACTTTCATTTTTAGAAACTGTTGATATATAAGATTTCTCGAATAAGATAAATTCATCGTCTAGATATTTTAAAGAGTGGTTTAGTCAGTTACTATAATTTCAGAATATTTATCATGCTACTACTATGACCATCATGATATTCCTAATTAACGCAAAATTTCTACTTGAATATTTCATCTCTAAATGTTACTTTTAAAGAATGAAATTCGTATCTAATCATCTGCAATATTGCGATTAAGTCTTAACATATCTGAGATTTAATTTAACTATTGTGATACGAAACTGAAATAGCAAAACTTAAGTTCCGCGTATATTCAATATGAATATGACCAACTTGTGGTTATACTGTATTTTATACCAATTATTACTTTAATAATTTTCTATCTTCACTCTTTTATTATGAAATCAATCTCATTTTGAGAAAATTTCCACATAGTGCTTTCATTGTAGTTCTTAATTCGTTTCTTCTATGCGATTCTTACAGTGAGATCTATTGATTGAAGAGATCAATATTGCCTTTATTTCGTCTGTTACACTAACCATTATCGGGTTGTTGTATTTATTATTTAATATTAGTTACCTGCATAAGCCTACCCATGTTACAACCGATAGAATAATTTAACTTTGATCTTATTTAACGTATTTAATTTTTTTCTTTTATATTACTAGATATCATATAGTGCGGGCTCACCATCTCTAAGTGATCGCAAACGCTATAAAACATTATTTAGAATGACGCCATCTGATTTCAACTATAATCGTCCGCGTGTAGCCATTATGAAATATTTTAATTGGTCTCGAATTGCAACGATTTATCAGAGCGAAAGATCCAATACATTTTCCTTAGTAGGTTAATAATTAAGTAGATTATGGATATCTTATTTTAATTGTTTTGACCCTAATGTATTATTAACAGCTATTTAAGGCTAATAATGTGGATTGAAAATTCAATCTTAATAATCTTTCATGGTAAACTTATTAACTATAATAAGCACAATACATTAATTAATATACTACTGTATATCACACATAGAAACAAGAAACGATGAAAGGATAGCTTTCAAGAAAATATTGACTTCAATTTTATTTCTTAATATTGTTCTTGCCCTTATTTTGTAGATTGGAATCACTTTCAGTCTTATATTTTAAATCAGTGAGTTATATAGAATCTCTATAAGAGGCAACTTAATTCATTTTCGATAGCTAAAGTTGTATAGTAACACTATAGAATACGGTAAAAATAGTCTATCATGTTTTTGACTTTCTATGGTAATCTATTTTAGCTTTGAGCTTTCCATCTCTTAGCAGACGGGGAAAAGAGCTCTTTTCTTTTCATCGATTATCTTTATTATTTATTTTTCTTATAGTTCGATAATACTATTTTATCGGAAGTGACTAATTGAGATATGTTTTTAATTTTTTTCTAATTTTCTATTGTAATCTTGAGCTTTCCATCTCTTAGCAGACGAGAAATATAGCTCATTTCTTTGTATCGGTTATAATTATCGTAATTGTTTATTTTTTATATAGTTATATAATACTACAAACGACTAATTGGGATATATTTCTGTAATAGCTCGCCCTATTACGTTAGGTTTTAGTTTAGGTCGTACGATTCTGAATTTTGGGTCAGTTTCTGAATATGAGTAAAACCCTAATCTCGTACAATATGAGCACTCAGATACGCCAACATGAACTGCAGGTGCTAGTTACACCAGTATAGCACGTACCCCAGTTGAACGTATTATCGTGTGCTCACTAATTTATTAGATATCCGTACAACTTAGTAGTATCAGCATTAATGTGACTTGACGTCACTTCTCTACTATCTCCTATTACATTTATAAGTGGTATCTGCTAATCTGTGTCCGTTTGAATATTTATTATTCATTTTCTGCTGGTTTGTATTCTTATATGGTACTTGAAAAATAAGTTTGTTCTGTAAATACGTGTAGTCACATTTAGACTAGTAGCTATCAAGAGAAAGCCAGGAGAATGAGATATTTCTCGATATTTATGGCTAGTATTATCCTGATATTCTTCTTATTTTGCCGTCAATATTGACGATGAAGTTACAGTATATTCAACTCCTTTTTCCCATAAATGATTATAATTGATGTATAACGAAATTAATTTTGTTTGCTTTTATTATTTCTCACTTATCATCATATTTTTCTACTTAAAAGTTTAGGTTTATACCGTACGAATTATCACATCCAAAACAAATTAAAACATTATTCTTTATTATTTTTAAATCCAGACAACCAAAGCAATATAGTAGACATGTCTACATATTTGTAGCAATTAGCAATTAAGTCTTATCGAATTTTCATTCTCTACTAATGAGAGTGCAGCAAAAAATTAGGAATGTTTAAAGACAAGTTAGCAACAAATCAGGAATGTATAAAACAAGTTGTGATCACTATTCAAACTAGCTTGTAATTTACAGCGTTATACGCGTATACAGTATCTTACAGAGTCTTTATAAAGTTTGATTGTAGCAGGTTCATCAACCCCTTAAGATTAGCTATTGATACCTAAAATTAGCTAGTTAGCCCTTATACTTTATTTACTGCCACAGTAAAGCCATAGAACTCAAATTTGATCATGAACTTCGCAATATTTTGCATCAAGTCGCATCTTAAAGTCCAGTATTCCGTAGCTGTTTAGAGAAAATAACAGTTTTGATTTACTGCTCAAAATAATTTTATCCATACTTAATTAATTTTTTTAATTATTTAATGGTGAGAATGACCCAATCATAATACTAAAATGCTTCAGTTATTTAAGCTATAAAATGAACTTCATTATAGAATCTACCAGATAATTTAAAACTCATCCACATAATGTTCTAGACTATTTGACCTTGACTATCATCTACATCAAAATGAGCTAAATTGATAATTGTATTGAGAGCTGATAAATGTATATATAATAGATTAAGGAATAGAGTCAATTTCATTATACTACTGGAGTCATCAGGCTTACTTGTTTCTCATACAAATTGTAAAGAAAAATTTATGAATCCGTTAAGAATTATTCAATTCACCGCAATAATACATTGAGCTTTCTTTATAAATAGCAATGACAGCAAGAAATTATTTATTCATATCTAACTCGACTATATTCCTATTTCAATGAATCTTATTGTGATATCTAGACAGCAGAAAATGTTATCAATATTATTAAAACACAAATCAAAAACTACGAAATCGTCACAACCGAAAGTGTCCGACGTGATCCGAAGATTCAAATTGAAAACCTACAGGTAAGATTAATAACACTAATAGAATAGATAAGATATTATTTAAATGCGGGTCAATATTTTGAATATGATCAAGTTGAATCGACAATTAAAAAATTCTTGCACTAGCCAATTCCACTGATATAATAAACATTTTTTGTAGTTTTGGGATAGTTTTACTAGTAGCTAATGCAATTTAGAATTATAATTTTCCATTTGCCAAACTGATTTCTTGCTATGCAGGACTAAGTGCTTTTGAAGTAATAAATCAGAATTTACTATTTTTCTTTAAATAGATACATTATTCGAAGCTAAGGTGGGCTCTAGCTATATTTGAAAGTTAGTTCTTTCCGGTAAATTCCCTGCTTACGATTCCTCCAAAAATAAAATTAATTCACGATATGCTGTCGTTTAGCTAGGTACCATATACAGTTCAGTATTACCTTAGAATTCCTGGATCTGATTGTATAAATACATATATTAATCAGTGTTAGTTAAATAATATTAAGCTCTATACAAATTTGAAATTATAGAGATGAAATTGTTGGTGATGAGTTGTAGATTGAGCTACAGAACTAAATCTATATTATAGCTATAACATAAAATCGCTCTGTATCGGCTTCTATTATGATTGACGGGCACAATACAGTTATGATACAGAAAGAAAAATAGATTTGTAACCTACTAATGGTGAAGAAGTGGATATTAAACCAAATTTATTCTTACATATTATAATTGTATTATAATAATGGGAAGAAAAGAGACTTTACTAATATTTCTAAACATGGAGAAATAAGAAATCTCGAAAATAACCTTAACAATATCCTTAAATTATTACCTTATATCGCTGATCTCAACTCTTAGTATGTAGAGGGAATGCATGCTTTTCCCAGGTTACCGATTGGAATTGGAAATGAATTAACTTCAGTCTGAAGCACGTAATAAGTCTATAGACTTTACGATTGAATTACGACTGCATTAATAAAAGTAATAGATTTGATTAATTCTACTGAATGCTTGCAACTATCATAAATAACACAAACATCCTTAAATACGTGACCCATTTTATAATCAAAGTTAACTCTTTTCTGTACCAGGAGCATTTGATGATTTATAATCTAGTCTACTAATTGATATATGACTAAATTAATACAAATCTGGGGTAATATTGATTATGATAATTATGATCTGCAATAAAATAGGCCTCAATTTCAATTCTATCTAATCTTCAGAGGTAGAAAGCATATGTTAAAACGATATACTTTACTATATATGCTTCATATGCTTTTTGTATAAGCAACAATACTTATATTGCTTATATACAAATTTTTAAAATATGTCATAGAGAAAAGACGCAAGAATTATAGTTTTGGACATGTTTGCCTCGGAAGCTAGACTGACGTTTTGTTGGGTAAGGATCTACTAATCATACGTATTACTGATAGTTGTTATTGGTATGTCAGATTTTTTTCAAAACAAAAATGCAATTAAATCCATCCAGTATTATGAATTTTGTTTTTGTTGAGGATAGGCTACAGTCAATTCCAATAATTTTAGCTGAATACTAGCTATACAACCAGTTCTACAAACAAACCATTCGTCCCTTAAACTACGTAGCTTAATTCTATATTGATCAATGCTTAAATTAGTATTATTACCACGAATATTTTATTAGATTAAGTTCACAAGGACTTTTATAGCTGATAGAACCGATTCAATTTTAAAAATTAAATTATTATCAGTTAGATTTACGTTGAAAATAAATTACTACTATATTATAAAAATTATTATACTAGCAGAATTGCTATTGCTAGAAATGATTTAGATCCAACATACGAAACGATTTTGTTAATTTCTTTACATTTAACAATCAGCTGTCTTGATTGCATTTCTGGTCATGGTCTACGTTTGTGAGCATATAATTTATAATTACAATCTTGCTTGTCATAGATACCTAAAAAGTAATTTTATTTTCCTTAATCAGCTCACGTATTGACTGTTCATCTTAGCATAAAATAGGCGAAAAATTCCTCAATTTACTATATTTTTATTATTAATCTGAATGCAAGGATTAGAACCCTTAATGGTACTGTATTTTAATTTTCAAGCTATTACGCAAGATGATGAGAGTAATTTGTCGACTATATCTCAAAAGTATATTATAATTGAGCTTAAAACATGGTCGATGATCAAATCAATTTAGGATTACACTATAATTTCCAGTTACATTTTATTTCCACATATTTTAAAGATTGTTAGTAATTAAATAAAAAGTAATTTATTTACAATTGATCACTGCCTTAGCATCATAGCCGTTCGTTATATTGGTGATGTTAATGTAGTAAGATTTATGTTGTTAGGCTATTCGACTTAATTTTACTGGTAAAAATACTCAACGGGTTTGGTTTATATCGGGATTTTATGCTGATTACTGGTGGAAAATTAATGATACAGATTGTACAGTTCAAGAATTGGAAAAAGCTTTAGAAGGAGTTATTATAACAGATATTATTAATGTAAGGACTGATGAAATACAAACAATCTCGGGCATGGTAAGTGCGATAGTAGAATATAGCATAAGTCATAGTCTAACTATAGCGGTGTTAACGACAAATCTTGTACTTATCAGTTGCATTTGCATCTATTTGGAGTGGGCTATCATATTTTTTGCAAAAACGAATCTCTAAATTTCTAAAATTTTCGGAATTCAGTATCCCTTAACTTCTCTCAGAACTTGAATGCCTTTGCCTCTACTTAAAAAACTAGAGAACTAATTTTATTCAATGATCTATCGAGCTTAAATACCTTTCGGCAGTAGCTAGCATTGATGAATCTTCTAACAACAATAATTATTGATATGGGCGTTTATTGATAGGTTTCACATAATTGGCGTACAGTACTCCTATCCATAGAATCATTTCAATACACCTACAATCTAGCATTACTCATAATGACAGTTACAAGAGCTTGTACTGTATTCAATAACTATATAAGAATTGTGTTACAATACAACATATAATTTACTGGAATGCATTATAACCTCAGCGATTCCTACTGTAAACTACTAATTGTAGTCACCATATATAAAATGTTAGTTTACTAAATTTAGTTATTTAATTCTTCACGGTAATTCGTACCGTGAAGTTATCATTTCAGCAGTTTGATATCTGGTGGAATTATCTGCTCATTCATGCTATCATTGAACTATGCTATGATAAAATTTATGTACTATCTGTAGACTATCGGAATTACTAAATAAGATATCAGTATTGTTTTACTGTCACAAAACAGCTTTGCAACAAGATAACGTAATCTACGATCAATAAGTCAATTCCTTGAACTACGTATCAAGGAACGATATCTGCACTATCACGAGCACTTTTGCTCTACTAGCAGACTACACAAAGACTTAAACGCCTCGTATTTTACGTTAAACACTAAGTTGGACAATTCTTCTTTACTTCACGATATACTGCATTTATATACTATTCCTCAATAGTTCATGAGTCATAGTTAATACAATTAACATTAGAATCATTTACTGAATTAGATATTAATTTTAGCTACTGCTCCCTTAATGCAGACAACAGTATTTACGAACATAGACATGTAATGACTAATACAGAATAGTCAGATTACGATATGTCCTATCACGGAACATTTCCATGATAATTTACAGTCTACCATAAGTAAATTACAATCACAATGATTCGAACTGTAAGCAGATGATTTGCATTCCCTATTATAACTATTATAATTTCAGTATGTGTATAAGTGTCACTGTCATAAAAAGTCAGTGCTATATTAAAATACAGTATATCCAAATTAGAAGTTAACTAAATAAGGATAGTCTAACAGAATTATCCTAACATAGTTATTTCTACTGTAATACAGTATTTAACACTGTAACATTTACATCGCCCATTCATAGAATATATTATTCATTTGCCAGTGTACGGCAATGCAACCAACTTTTTTAAATGCAAGAAATTTATTCTCACGAACACTTCGAAATAGAATAGAATCTATTACGTGTTTCATATCGGAATAAGTTTCTAATAATATAACAAACAGTAGAAGATACATATTCTTTGACAACAGTAAATCTATAATTCTACACACTGCCTATCCTTTCTATATACCTTACATATTTATGATCTGCAAATCACAAGCCAAAGTTTCCAGGTTGCATATGTTAGAACTAGCAAGACCTAGTATGAGATCGAAAAATCTTACAGTTACTACAGTTCTAAATTAAAGATTAGATCAGCGTCATTATCCTATTGTTAGTGCGACTTAAATAATCTTTATTATTACAGTTTAAATCAAAGTATTTTACTTATAAGGATATCTAATTTTACTATTCAAAATATGTCGATAGCAAAAATCAGAACATGCATTTAAGAATACAATTTTATTCTCATGTAGGTCTTAAGATAATATTCGTTTAGTTTAGGGAAATAGATTGGCTAGTGCCTGGTTAGATAAATGCATAGTATCATACTATTCTTGTATAGTTTAATAGCGTAGTACAATATGAACTTGATCATATTGGGAGTAATAATTACATAAGTATAATATTATATATAATACAGTATGTTGCTTCTGTATAGTTGATAAAATATACTTTTGATAAATAGGACCATCGCAAACAAATTAACTCAAATGTAGTATTGCTGCAATACATCCAGAACAGAAATAACGTAAATACTATACATTTGACTAGGTCACTGGAATATAGTTACCGGTACATAACTTGTTTATTAAATGCATAGTTGACATGCTTTTGTATATTACGTATAGCTCTATAAAATCCATTAGCAGCATGTCAGCTATATAAAGAACTCTCTTTCCATTACTTACGAAAAATTTACTTTATATATAGTTCATTTACGGTTTAAACTGGCACGGTTATGCGAATATAATATTGATAACTTCGTTCTTCTTTTAACCGTTAACACTTTCATTGTTAGACTGTCCAAGATTATCAAGAACGACTTAAATTATGGCCTACGTATAAAAGTTATCATTATAATCGATACCATCCTTATGGTTATGACACCACATGGGCTATTGCACTGGCTCTTAATAGAACAGCGACAAAATTAGCTAATTGGCCAAAAGCAGACAATCTAACATTGGAAAATTTTACTTATCGTCATGGAAAGTTAATAAAAGATATCATTATGGAATCATTTTATGAATTGAACTTCGAGGGCGTCACCGTACGTTAAAATATCTTTTAAGGGTTACTAATTATGTTTGATTTCTAAGGGCTTAAAGAAAGTAATAGACAGCGGTAGAATTTTAGCAATTAATGATAACATTGAGAGGCTTATTCATTTTTCTTTTAGGGATCGGTGAGATTTACGGATACTGGCGATCGGGCAGGAACTGTGATTATTCAGCAATGGAGAAGTAAGATAATATTTCTTTTATGATATTCAAATCGCTGTAAATTATAGCCTTACAATAAGATTTATTATTAAGGCTCAAGAAAGATATATTTTTGATCCCTTACTTAAATGCATGAGTTCTAAATTTATTTTTGCTTCTTTAAATTGATAATTAACAAATCTATAACTAAAGATGGGTCAAAAATCCCTGTTGCTATTTACGATAATAGCAAAAATACTTTACGGTGGATTGATGAATTTCAATGGAAAGGTACTATAATATAGAACAGGGTTAAGAAATACAGTCTGCCTATGGCAATCACTAATTTAAAGCGAGTATCCACATTGTAAAAGTATCTAATAACTATTTTAACCAATAATTTTCTTTTAGTCACAAATTTAGCAATAAATATTTGGTATGATTTGTTTTAAAAATGCTTAGGCGATGTGATACCTAGTGATGGCTCAAATAGAATTCTTATAGTGAACTATAAGCAAATTCCATCTACTAGTACAATAGCAATAGTCGTTATATCAGCAATCGGAATTGCTATAAGTTTTGCTTTTGCACTATGGAACCATAAATATCGCAAAGCTCCGTAAGTTTTTCAACAGGAAATTTCAATATAGAGATTCACATATTTCTTTATAATTTATCATCTTGTACCAATTTTAAAAGCACTTAGCCATGACTCAATTTTTTTTTAAATCACTTTATCTGTTCTTATCAGGGCTATAAAAATTTTATCGCCAAGAATTAATTTTATAATCTCACTTGGTTCAATCATCATGTATACTGGACTGATATTCTATAGCCTATTTGAAATGAATAAAAATTTAATCAAGACCGGCGTCACTGGTAGAATATTATGCGAGGTAATTTAATAACATTAATACATAGACAAGCATTATTATTTGCGCAGTTTCAATTTGTCAATAAGCATTAAAATCATACAGATAGCGCTGATTAAAATAATTACGAGTCGTATTATAAGCTGATAATTTAAATCTATTTAGTACACATAGATTAAACTGATGTTTTATAGATATTTCATATAAAATACGTAAAGTAAATTAGATTAAATTCATGAATAGCCATTCTAATTAGATGAACAGTACGGCATAATGTTAGCAGTTTAGAACTAATTCAATGCTCTATTTTTCAAAGAACTATTCTATTATACATACTTCTAATCCATCATAATGACTTTAGTTTCAGTCAAACTAGAGTAATGATGAAAATTCTTTTATTATTATATTGATTACTTTACCGTATACTTGTATACTTGAATTAATTTTAATATTGAATATTTTGTTATGAAACTGTAATAATGGCTAGAATTTAATCATTTACATACAGCTTCTAACAGATTAATGACATTTCTACTGTAAAGTAAGAAATACATAGAAAGGGCCAAGATCGCAACCTGCATGGAGTTATAATAAATCGAGTACACTTCCATCAGTACTAGAGATACATTAAATTTATAATCATCTACAAATGCAGTGTTTGGAATAATACATAAAGGGGGTAAAGGTAGTAGTCTGCTCGAAGTAATAATAAATCTAATAAAATTTTATAAGTACTGTAATAACTTCCATGATCATCGACGAATACGGTACAGTATTCAGCATAAGTACAGTGAAAATGTTAATGATACAGCATAATTGTTGAATCTATTAAGAGCAATCTTTCATAGAATCGATAGAGTAACTAGTTAACTCTGCCTTACTATTTTGCTTTATTGATACAAAATAAGTTGTAGATTATTTGTTGTCGTAATCGGATATTTTAATCGTGTGTTGTGTAGCTAAGACGAAATTACAATAATATTAATGCTACAATTATAGAAAATATTCTTAGCTAAATATAGTATTTTTCTAGATTAGCTGAAGATCGTAAAAGAGCTTCGAAATAAGAATAGTCTCATAAAAATAGGATAGCAATTGAGGATAGTGAATGTATTTGAAGTCATAGAATTTGGTACTTTAGTTTTAGTGTAAATTAATAATAATTTTATTTTATATACCACTCTTTATTGCTCGCTGTCACTAACAATAGTCCTGCTATACTATTAGGTTTGAATTGGTTTTAAAAATTGATTAGTAATAGTACGATTGCGAAATATATTATCATATCAAATTAGTTTATTTCAATATCCACTTAGTCCTGTTCTGAGAAAGACTAAATAGAGTTGTTTGCCATTTTAAAATAGATAGATTAGATCTCCACACTTGATGTAAGGAGTCCTTTTGGCTCTTAAAATATAGATAATTAGAATTAATTAGAAAACTCGATCATATGCTATTAAAAGCTCTTACTATTATATCAGCAAAAAGCGAAGGCTTGTCCTTGTCTATTCGCAATGATATAGATTCAATTAGAAAAGCTGCCATAATTATAGTTCAGTTGTGAATAGAACATCTACGTTTTGAATTTGAATTTCTACGTGTGTAATATCTTCCACTTCCTGTCAATTTTATAACGCAGATGTGGAAATGGTTTATACCATTAGGCTTTACTACAGCTTATACCGCATTGATTTCCAAAACTTTCAGGATTTATATCGTCTATACCAGTGTTCAATCAAAACCAAGACGCAAGGTAAGTGGTAATATCCAAACATAATTGACTTGGAGTATAAATTTGGCTAGCTACTATTATAACCTTTACCTAATTATGAAACCATTTCCTTGCTTTGTAGAAATTGCTGGATAGGAGTTTAATTAAATTGATTATGATCTTGCTTTTAATCGATGTAATTTACCTTGGCTTATGGTCTATTCTTGAGCCTCTTCAGCTTCAAGAAAAAACTGTTAAGATCGAAGTTAGTAAGATTTCATAGTTACTGAAGCTAATAATGAAAGCTAAATGTAATAAAATTTTTTCAGTATGAAGTATCATTTCCTACGTGATTTTTTGGCCATCTATATCCAGAAATTATTTCATATCTACAGACAGTAGCATGCAGCTTGCAGCATCTTTCCCCAATTAGATATGCGATGAAATTATTTTAGATAACATCATTTAATTCATTCCTTACATGATTTTTCAGATGATCTATGTAAAGAAATCACTTTACTTACAACTAGTACAATAACTTGCACCTTTGCAATGCTGCTGCTCAATAGGCTATCTGATGAAATCATTTCAGACTATACATAATTTAATTTATTCATTATGCGATTTGTTAGACGATCTATACTCAGAAATCACTTCATATTTATAGCTAGTAATATATATCTTTACCATAGCTCTATCCCATAGGGTATCTGAAGAAATTATTTAGTCAATATAATTTAATTTATTCCCTGTACAGTTTACTGTATTCTATGAACTATATTCAGATATTACTTTCCGTCTACTGTATAGTTCTTAACTTGACTTACTGGATAAATCTTTGCTACTAGAGCATAGCGTCAATCTTGACGTACACATTGTCTTTACTTTTTAACTTTGTCGGTTACAATAACGAGATCACTATCCATCTTAGATCAAGGTGACAAACTTTGTCTTCTATCATGCTGCTCTATATTATATGCGGTAAATTATGAGCTATTTGTACCGTTCTTGTAATCAATTAAAGAGCAGAAATAGTAATAACAAATAAGATTCATGAGACATCTTAACGTCACAAAATTGTCAATTTTTCTACGGCAATTGCTTGCTACAATATCAATCTATTCTTATTTTTGTAATATTTTTCCATATTTGTAGGTTACTCATGTCGATAATGCTGATGTAAGACAAGAGACTAAAGATTTTAAATGTCATTCAAAAAACTTAACTTACTGGATACTGATCCTATCTACTGAAAAAGCATTACTATTAATCATTGGCATGTTGTTAGCCTATTCAACGCGCAATGTCGAAGTGAAAGAATTAAACGATTCTAAATTATTAACTGTAATTAATTATAATTTTATGATGGCCTTAATTATCACTGGCCCTTTAAGATCAGTTCTAAGCGCTATGCCAGGCGAAACTTATTTTCTCTTAGATACAATCTTTATTTGGTTTAGCGTAACCATCATGTTATCGCTATTATTTTTTACACAATTTTATCGAATGATGAGAAGATTCGGTAAAATTAGTGAAAGTGCGTTGCCAGGAACTCGGTCAATAAGCCATGCTCTGGATTAACCCTTAATTTCAAATAATAACTGGATTGGATAAGTTATTTTAGGACTTATGATATCGTTGTTAATTATTTTAGATTTTAAATTTAGGAAGCAAGTACTTCGATTCTAGGTACTATGAATTGATACGTTATATCTGAATTCCCTTTCTAATGTTATTAATGAGGACTTTTCATATCTTTACAAGTATGTACTTTACTTGATAAATACTGAAGAACAGTTCTTGTTTTATTTCGTTCCATTCCGCTCAGGATAATACCCGTTTAATTCATTAAGCCACTTACGACTTTATGTAATTATGAAATTTTGACGTACATGGATATATCAATTTAGTACTACTTTACTATCTTGAAAGCATTACACTTCCTATTCATGCTTCATTTAATCACATGCTTAAAATCTTCATAATCTTTGCCTAAAATAATATTATGTTAAACTGAGTCAAGTATTATCAACAGCATGTTCAACTTTATTTGACTATTTACATCATTAATCTAATATTCTTCATGATAGCTCATCATTGATGAAAATTCCTACATCTCATTTTTTCTGGTCATAAACCATTTACTGCATCTAAATTTAAAAAGAAAAGGATTAAATTGTTGATTAGTTTATGGTTAAATTTATTTCTTTTTATACTAATTTTAGAATCTGATATTATACTATAAACTCAATTCTGTATACTTTCACTAGTAATTTATAATGCATTTCTTCATTGCTTCAAATTATTCATGATGCAAGATAATGTTTAATGTGTAATAATCTTGCAATCCTTTAAATCTACCTGATAACATTGCAATACTCAATGTCCGCTTTTAAAAATTTATTCACTGTGCTGATTACGTTAGCTTCAGTACGAGCCACTTAAGTCAATTTTGCTATATTTACATGTAAGAATGCTGAATTCGAATTCTATCTGGGATATGTTTCTAGTTATTTAATATTAAATTGTGCCCATGCATCTTCAACCATTTGCAATATTTAAATTAGAATAAAAGGCAAGCTTCAGGTAAAACGGTCAACGAGAGCATCTACATTTCTAGCTAAAGTTATCTTTATAGATACGCTAACATTTTGCATATCGTAATTTGAGTAATCTGTAACAACGCATTCATTACTTATATCAAATAATGATGCTAGTGCACAGAAATCTCTATAGAGCTGTTACGTAAACGTATTCTAGTACGTATACTGCATGTATGCAGCGGCTTCATGCCACTACTATGTGCCTAAAAAGAAAGAAATAGTGATTGTCTCTTCAATTATTTTACTATCATGCGACTAGATGCTCGATATGAAAATATTTGTCGTACACTATTAATACTTTTATAAAGCTATAACAAATTCAAAGTTAAAATGATTTATATTGATCTTGCTAAATTATCGAAAGATTTCTCTCTTTTATTATTTTGAAGGAAAAACTTATAGCTATTATAATACCAATGTACATATTTCTATGCATAAACTCTGAGAATATTATCTGGTCTTACTTAATTACTATCGTCATAAATGATGCCGTTATAAAAATACATTGGTCGGATACATACAATACAATCGCAGTACATTAATTAAATCAGTTTTGTGAATACTAAATTGATTTAGTATCACATTAATAAAAATCGGTTGCAAAGTTGTAAGCATCATCGGAATCATTCATAGCGTCAGGATCTTTTTCAGGATTTTGTTGTAATAGTCTGGCTTCTAAGAAAAGAACAGTAAGTTAGATGAGATTTTAAGTCGAACTGAGTTTAGACAGAGATCACTACTAATGCAATTAATAAAAGCCGGCCAACCCTGTCTACGAGTTTCTTTTCGTTGTTTCTTAAGTTGCTATATATTAAAATGCATTTTATTAGTTACCAATTACAGATATTTAATTAAACAAGATAATGGCAATACAACTATTTTAGATACAGTAGCGATAATGTATACTGTCGAATATACCAAGTCACTTACTTTTTTTCTCAGCTTCTCGATTGGAATATTTGATGTACTAGGAGAATTGCTAGTTCCTTTCTGTTTGACTAAGGGTTCAGATAGCGATTTCTTCGGCCGTATCTGAACAGTCACTAACTCATCTTCGTTCTATAGATATAGCATATTTTTACAACGTATACATTAAACCCTTTACGATACTCAGTTAATATTTTCAAGCTGATGTTACTCAGTGTAATACTGCACTAACATTGTCATCGACTTCGTCTTCCGACATAGACATTGCCTCTTCATCATCATCATCATCATCACTATATTCATCTTGCTATTATAATTATTGATTGCAGAAAAATTTACTTAATAAAAAGTACTTATAAAAAATATTCGAATGCATCCGGTTGTTCCGGATAGAAAGTAGCTACAGTTTGTATGCAACGGGAGTTCTTACCGATCCAATACTCTCTTCATCAATTAAATCATTAGGATTTAATCCTACCGCATCTGTCATCTCTACATCAGTTTCGATAGCCAGATCTAAACAACAACAAGATTACATATACTGTAGCCCCAATTTGACTTATATGTTGTTATTGAGGCAAAAAATTTGTGCATTACCTCGTAAATTTTGTCTTTCATCGTTTAATAAAGTATTCTACAAAATAATAACAAGATAATATTAGAGACTATCTATTCAAAGATGGATTAACGTCCTGGTTATTGTTAATGCGGAACTAACAATATCAAAGGCTTGACTCCATTCAGTGACAATCTCAGCAGAAATGTGGGAAGGCAGTTTATGTTGCTCCGGTGGGTGCGTATAGTAGGATATCTTTCCACTGTCATCAGTAGTAATATGGATTAGTTATGCAATATAAAATCAGTTCTAAGATAGCAAATATGTAAGTCTATTTTTTACGCAACCTATTCCAGTCGGTAAGAATACTTTTAGCGGCAGCCTCAACGTTTGGAATTCCACCTAAATTATTAATACTGACTTAGCAAAATTGCAGTCTATACAGTACTTTTCGATTAAGTAATTATAATCGATATAGCATCTAAAAGTTAATGTGATGACATCAAATGATACCTTTCTTTAGTCTGCCCAGTCGATGCGCAAGAAGAGACAGGAAATCATTAACATTATTATATTCAGGAATACAGTACTTTTCCATAATCTATATCAGTAATTGCGTTAATTAGTCGGCATCATGGATATATAGGGCTTGATACGAATCGTCATGTAGGTGCCGTTAAGTTAAAATAAGGTCATAAGAGAATGTATAAAATATCCTAATTTCATACCTGTTGACGGTTACATCTTTTCAAGATAGCTTCTACAGCAGGGATCGGATCTTGGACTTCATCCAGCTAGAAAGTGAACAGAAAACAGAGGAAACTATATAATTTTCTAAAGAGTGATACGCGCGTAACATAAAATCGGTAGAGCTATGGATGATTTGTAAAACCATTTATACCTTGACACAATTTCTTAAAATTAATCCAGTATTGTCATTGCGCTTGCTCATAACAATTCCGGGGCTATCTAATAACTTTATGTGCTTATCTAAGTTGATTTCTTGCATATTCCTGATAAAGAAATTTTGCATTAGATCATTGTCAAGTTTATTGCTTGTGTAGAGTCACTTTGAAGATGTAAAAATCAAGTAAACAAGGTGAATACTAACTTTGTTACTCCTGGCTCTGATCCGACTGTGCATGCTCTAGATCTTTTCAAGCTATTGATAACACTAGATAGAACGGCAATTTATCAATAAAGATAAAGTTATTACTACAAATACAACAAAATTTATAAAGAGCTAAAAAAATTGAAAATTCAGAAAGCATAGATATGAAAGAGTATTATACCTGCTCTTTCCAACGTTAGGCAATCCTGATAAGTAAATCAGTTTAGTAAGAGATTGTTCATATCGAGGTCGTTCATTAACCTTTACATTATTTACTTGGCTTACTTACCGACAACACCAACCGTAATTGAAGTTTTCAAGCCTAAATTACGGCAGTAATTAGACAATAATTTCATGAGAGTATCTGCTCCATAGCAAATACTTGCATTTAATGAATTTTTTGAAGCTGTGGTGACAGCAACTTTACTCCTAGCCTGATAACAAGTTGGAGAGATACGTGAGTATCGATGATAGCGGCACAAATTAGATATGTATAACTAAAGAGTCAGGGTTCTTACAATATGATCTTTTTGAGATTGAGTTGATGCTTTAAAGGCTATGGCTGGTAGCTCATTCCTGAGATACTTAAGCCATTTTTCGATATTATCACGAGGAATTAAATCTTATAATAACACAATTTACCCAAATAGGTTAGAATGAATGAATCAATACGTAGCTCCAGATAAAACTTTTAATTTGCATCATCATTGTGTTTTTCATACCAATTTTATTTAATAGCAATACTAGTTTCTTTTTAGATCCAGATGAAAAAATAGCACGTTCTACCTAATTTTTTTTAAAGTTAATAAATAGATTTATAAAACTTAAGGGTGATGAATTCCTAATTATATAGTAGATAATACCTCTAAGCATCTGCACCCAAGTGGATCACGAGCATCTAATACTTGTAATATCACATCAGCTGCTTCAACAACCTGTAGAAAAATTTTAGAGGAGATCCGATCAGATTATAGTGCATAAAAAATAGTTAGGTATTAGTACTTCTATCATGAACCTTTTTAAATTCTTTGTAATATTGCTTCCTAGATTGTTCTATAAAAAAAAAATGAGCTATATGTTAAACATTCCGCATATACTTATCCAAAAAATAGAAGAAAAGGGAATATTATGACATTTTTTATTAGAATCTTGCATTGAATGCTAGTATTGCTATTATAATTGCAATTTGGATCTTACCAGTAATTTCATTCTGTCCGTTGTTTGCTTCCTCGGCATTTTGTAATACCTAAATAATTTTAAAATAGAGTTTAGAGATGTTACTTATAATGTGGAATTGAATTTTTGGGGTATACTTGTATTGTAATTAATATGTTAGCTACCGTAGCAGAAGTGTATACCCTATTATTAAATTCTTCAGCTCGGCGTTCAGCATCGGCTTGTATGCTTTTCAAGTCTCTACGTTTACTAAGTTCTTCATGTCTTTCTAACTTGCGTCTCTCTCGATCTTGTTCAATCTACAATATTTCCCATTCCCAGTATATTCAGTGATTGATAGTATGCATCATTGAGGTATATTTATTAATTACAGATATTACGACTGTAATATTTTGTATCATTAACGTTGTTAATGAATGTACTGTACCTTAGATTGACTAATAAATTATTATCCTACCCGTAATTTTCTTTCTTCCATTTGACGCAGTAATTGCTCCTTGAAAGGATACAAATTAGGTATTCCAGGATCTTTCTTGGATCCTATGTTTATGGATACCACACGTTAAAATTATACTGTATAGGGAAAGCTTCAACTTTAGTCCTATGATAGTGACACAGAGGTTCACTGTTGTTCTTGTTATATGCAATTATACTGTAGATATCATGTTTGATTAGCAGTCTTTTGATGCAAAGGCAGTTACAGTACATGCAAGCTTCAATCAAGTGTGGGCAATTGGGTATCTATCAAAAGCTCCTGTTTACATGCATTCCATTGAAGATTACAATAGTGTCCTACCCTTTTTAATACCCTTCTTTGCTAGCTCTTTGGCAGCTTTCTTAACTTTTCGCCGATGTTCTCGAACCTTTTCAACGTAATAAAATAGTGTAAGAATGGTAGATATTGGCTAATTAACTGATCATAACTTTGGAAATGATCATCACCAACGTTCAATCTTTGCATTTGCTAGCTACACGATTGTAGTCTGAGTTACTCCATTCTACGGTATCAGACATTCAAGTGAGTAAAATATCAATTTCATTCATAAGCACAGGCATAAAGGATTGCCTTGATGACAGTAAAACTTGATAACAATAACACAACTGTAATTTGTCATTTTGAAGTGAGCATGTCGATGTGATGGTTCTCCTTCATTCTTAACCTCTGCAAATTACTTACGTTATGCTCCACTTTATATCGTTTCCTAGCTGACAAACGCTTGCTTTGCTTTTCTAATGAAGCGAAAGACAGATAAATACTAATTATAACATGATTATCTATGCAGTATAGTGCTTATCATCATTGAGCTTACTTCCTCTGGCCATTTTTCCTCCTTTAATTTCTTACTCAATGACAATGTTGATAGATGTTTGCAGAAGCAAGGTAAGCAAGAAAAATTGATTTGGTCGGAATGGCTGGACTGGTGTTGTACCTGTACCCGGTTTCGCACATGTACTACAGCGTCCTTTTGACAGTGTCCAATGTACTGTACAATCATTTAGGTACTGTATAAATGGACTGTACGGTATTGTACCCAAAGTCCAGCAGTGAATGTAGTTGGGAATAGTGTGCAAAGTAAGCTGTCATCTCGATGACTATTCCCTTCTTAGTATGTTGGTCAGTATTACCTCGATAGTTTAGTAAGGGTGACACCTTTATGCAATAAGCCATTCCCTACTCAATGTGACTGGATGCAAGTGGGATGCTTGTAGGAGGAGATGTCATGAAAAGAGCGATCGCATAATATCAGAATAAAATACGCCATTAAATCAGTGACTAATGGGTAGTATTTCAATTTCACAGAAATGAAATCTTATCACTACTGCCTAGTAAGCCAGAATAAAATGTGATTGAAACATGGGTTAGAGTAAAATTGATGAATGAAGAGTAGTGTAGTGAGTGAAAAACTGCCATGCTTGATTTCATGAGTGTAAAACTGTGTCTTACTCACTTCAGTCAATTGGATGTTTTGATGGGCATACTACTGCAACCAATGGCGCAACGTATTTTGTTTATTTCTTGGTAAAATTATGGTCAAATCATGGTCAAATCATGGTCAAATCATGGTAAATTACAGTTGATGCTGTTATCCCGTAGGCTAGGTTTCGTATAGGAGGGATGATCCTCCAACAGTACAGTCTTGATACTCCTGTTGGCATGGCGTCACGTCCGTCCAGTCAGCATTAGTAGCTAGCACTAGAAGACTATACTATAAGGCGTTGAAAACCGTGTCCACAACTTATATGTATATATATATAATATATTGACTTCATCATCTAGACATTTTCCTTAGCTTTGCTTAGCTGATTTGTGCGGCACCAAGAGGTCTGGTTTATTCTCATCGCAGTAAGTATTAGATTGATTTAGGGTTGAAGGAATGATTTGTAGTGTAATGTTTGCATACCTAAATGCAAAACAATCCTTTATAGTGTATTATCAAGTGATTTACTTGGCCAATCTGGCACCAATCTATTTTCAACTTTCAACGGTAGTGTATTGATTTATTGACGTAACAGTAGATGCCGTAGTAAGCGTAAAAATAGACTACGTGAAGGAGAAATAAAAGTGGTATAAAAAGTATTATCATCTTGATTGGAGAGCATTCTCTATCTCATATTGGATTTCAAGCTTGCGATCTATCAATACAATTAGACTATGGATTGGACGATAGGGTAAAAGGAGGCAGTTTCTCCATTGCCGATACGTAGTAGAAGCAAGGCGCAATACTGTAGTGTCAACGACTCTACATATCGCAAACTACAACACAAGCGTTTGTTGACTCTAGTTCCACCTTTTAATTTCCTTCGACGGCTAATTGAATACGATAGCCCTCTTCAAGATGCATTCAATAGTACTGTTGATAAACTTCAACATGTTTATTAGCCTTAACTGTCAACTTTCATCTATTCTAGCCGAAAGGTAAAAGCGATTGCTAGGCAGCAAGATGGCAGAATCAGCAGAGATAAAGACAGACTACTATCGATGTGAGTTGAACAAAACAGTCTGGGAAATACCGATACATTATCAAAATTTAAGCCCAATCGGTTCCGGAGCATACGGACAAGTCTGGTAAGTTGTCGAGTTATACTATACTGTACAATAGGACACAGTAGAATAACTTGGGGAACAACTAGTTTACATTTTGTAGTATGTTCGATGCGATCGAGACGCAGTAGAATATCTATGATAGACACAAGAACGATAGCAAAGACTGTTTTGAGCAAGAAGCCAAAAGGAAAGGATATCACTTTACTTCTCACTTACGTGATGGTCAATGATTATTATTAAGACATTGTTTGCGTAAATAAGGCTTTTACATGGATGAACTTTTAATTACAGTACAGTACTGTACACGAGCAACAAAGTAATCCTTCACATAGTTTATATAGCAAGGCAAAAATATATCATATTCACTATGATCGGTATTATCCAGTCACTACGGTACAAATGATTCCCAGAATGTAAGGTGCACAGCTACCGTAGTTCTACAGAATATGTTGAAACCAATAAAGGGGCTATAAACTTATAGTGCTGTCCCAAATTAGCATAAGATTACAATAAATTTAGATCTGATCGTGCGACTTAATTAACAAGATATCATTGTCTTGGCCAAAATCATTCTCCATCTAACTGTCTATAAATCATGAATTTTACCCTAATAATTTAGATAATCTGATTGCAGCTAGATAGTCCTTGGTAGTAGTAAAATGAACCTGATTGAGGTATTAAAGTATGTTACAAGAAACTGCACTTCTTGTTTTATCATGTTGACTACAATTGATCACAAAACTACACTGTAGTTTATAGTTCTAGCAGGTTAAATACAGCATTTACCGTACATTGCAGTACAGTATAGTTGTCCCTCTCATTCCTTTAGTAGTCCATGATCATTGATAAGACTGAGGATTTAGCTCAACAATAGTACGCATACGATCACTTTTTACCGCAATTTGAACACAGCTGCATGTTTATTTTCAAGCTCAGGTAATTTAAATACAGTGCTTCATTGACAGACTGTGTAATTCCTCTACTGATAATTCACAGTTCAGCGATAGATACCCGTACCAATATTGAAATCGCGATTAAGAAATTATCACGCCCTTTTGAATCAAACACCTTCGGCAAAAGAACATTCCGTGAAATGAAACTTCTTATGCACATGAACCAGGAGCAGGTATTAGCCATTACTGGTTACAATAGATACAATAATAAACGTATTTTAACGCAGCACCTTATAAGGGTATACCAAATTACCAACCACTATCGATAGATTGTCTATCATACATACTGTACAGTATTGGCTATAAATCGATGCTATACGTTTCTGTCTGCATAGGTCATCAGTTTACTGGATACTTTCACACCGACTAGTGGACGGTCTAATTTTAGCGATGTGTAAGTTTATTCGTTTCTTGTCTTTTTAATTATCACAATTATTCATCATTAAATTATATTATAAATAAAATTACAAAGGCATTATTTATCATATTGAAGCTAAAGTAGCTGTTACTTTTATATTCATATTGCTTGTAGATATTTAGTTACTCCATTAATGGGAGCAGATTTAAATACGGTAATCAAATGTCAACCGCTATCTGATGATCATGTCAAATTTCTTGTTTATCAACTAATGAGAGGATTAAAGGTAAACTGAAAATTTCATTGGTTATTATATCGAAATATTTGACAGTGAATGAATTGTTTTTATTGAGTTAATGATTATTAACATTGCTTCTCAGTATATCCATTCCTGCAGGATAATCCATCGCGTGAGTTTGTACTTTCTTTCTACATAATATCATTAGGAAATTATACAGAGTATTGCATCAATTTTATCTCTATAGGACTTGAAGCCAAGCAATATCGCTGTCAATGAGAATTGCGAATTAAAGGTAATACTGTATGTTGATCAATTCTATTGTCACATACTAACGAAATCCAGCATCCAATAATGCTAATTATATTCATTCAGCTAATAATCCATATTAACTAGTCTTAGATAAGCCCAACACTTACCCTATTATATTATACTTATAATTAGATTCTTGATTTTGGATTGGCTCGTAAGGCGTCAGAAGAATTAACTGGTTATGTCGCTACAAGGTGGTATCGAGCTCCAGAGATTATGCTTAATTGGATGCATTACAATCAAACTGGTATTGAACTTTAATTGCATATGTTACTACTTTACTGTAATACATACAAAACAATCTTAGCTATCGCGTATTTGTTCATTGGACGTATATCTTAAAATAGTCTTTTCAAAATTTCAGTTGACATTTGGTCCGTTGGATGTATTATGGCGGAAATGTTAACATCTAGACCACTCTTTCCTGGAAATGATCGTAAGAATTGTGTTGATATCATTCGCTTGACGAAAATATTACTTTAATTATGGTTGCGGATGTACTTACGCATGCATCAACATTAGATATCGATCAACTTACACGTATCTTGGAACTGGTGGGATGTCCTTCGGATGAGTTTATTAGAAAAATTCAGAGTGAAGCCGCTAGAAATTATGTTGCCGGTATGCCTAAATTTCCAAGAAAAGATTTTTCGACGGTTTTTCTGGGAGCTAATCCGGAAGGTATATATACGCGTAGATTCACTGAATTGCGTTATTTAAATACATACGGGTACTTTAAACTACTCGTACAATAAATCCTTCTTGGTGAAATTATAGCCATAGATTTACTTGAAAAAATGTTAACTTTGGACTCCTCACAAAGAATCGATGCCATCGAGGCCTTAGCGCATCCTTATCTGGCTGAATATGCAGACCCAGATGATGAGGTGGGACAGCTCTTAATGTATATAGTGTATATCCAATGTAACTTTTATTCATGCTTGGATCGACGTTAACTTCATTTTTAAGGAATGACTTATTCAATACAAGGAATCTAAATTCTGCTATAAAAAATGTTACGTGATAAATTACTTTATATTTTCAGCCATCCGGAGAGCCATTTGATGAAGGATTTGAAGACTTGGAAATCTCTGTTGAACAATGGAAAGGTGTTTACAAAATTTAAATAGTATCTTGTAGTACCCAGATTAATTATGGCATTATTCTTATATTTAAATCTAAAGATATGGTGTATAAACAAATTGAAGAATTTAAAAGAATAAACCCTTCCGCAAGTCCTTAAACGTATCAATTATTAGGTGAGCATTAAAGAATTTCACGTAAATTTGTACTGTAATCACCGAGTAACTGTTAGAGGCTAACAACCAATTTAACATTATTTACTGCTGTAGATAGTTGATCCTTAATTATACTCGTAATATGAGTTCTATGTCAATTTCTGCTAAATAAGATATCTTTCACGGTTACTTTATAGGGAAATGGTTTCGTAAGCTTTTTAATGATGTTAGACGAAATATTTTTATCCGCTTCGATAAAACCCCGGTGGTAGTAATGACGTGTATTAGAATATACTATATACATAGTATGATCACTAAATAAGATCTGACGTAGCTATGAATTATACTATGAATATATAGGTATATAGTATAAATATATATATAGTATCGCATTTCTTTAACGCTGTAGTATTTTTTATACTTTTTTAACAATGTACGTATACAATACTTTAGATATCCAAACTTGCGAGAATGTTAGTTATTAATAGGCTCATTTACATCTAGGCATTATTTGATTTGCTCAAATATGTACTGCTACAAATAGCATCACGTATTCCTATCTACAAATGGTTATCTGAAACTAAGTGTAATATACAATCTAACGAATTATAATTATGCATACCGTATGTATTGACGTAAATCAGCACAAATGATGATTCTGTATTCCGTCATAGAATTGTATTTGTTGAATTATAAATTTGGTTCCTTATTGCCGCACATTTTTTTAGCTTGATTATGCCCTACGCCCTTTAATTCTTCTGATACTTTTATCTTTTAACGTTGTATGTTTCGGGAAGCAGCGATTCTTAATGTGAAATCGATTCAAATAAAAGTTATACAGTACCTTGAAATAGTATTGTTATCCTTCAGCCTGTATACATAAGAATTCAATAAGATTATCAAGTCCGTGATGAGATAAATAGATTGAAGAACGATTTAATGCGTTAAGCTATTGGCTGGGCTAAAAATGTCGGCACATCATTCCGAAGACTGTACAATTAACTCTGAATAAAATTAATAGCCTACTGTATCCCTAATTGATGTTTTTTGGAGCTAACTGAACAAGCAACAGAATAAATACTGCCTCGCATTCAGTATACGCATGCACATGTACGATTGATACAACAAAATATATAAAATTACTCAGCATGAATATGAAGACAATTCTAGTTTCCACCAACGGCAGCCAAGTGAGAATATGTAAGGCCAGCTCTTTAATTAAGATCATTATTTGTTTTCTCAGCGTTGTGCTGCGTAGTGTCGTAAAACTTCGCTATATTGATTTTGGTTATGAAGGCAGCCATTAGTGATTTAATTTATAATAAAGCAGTTTAACTTAAATCCATCATAGTGACTCTTTAATCTGCTGTGAAGTAGTCTATTATACTTATGTTAGTTTAATATAATTACACTGGACATTGGTTTCTGGTTTTAAGGTTTAGGCATCTTGGGGAATTATTTGTGGTAATCATGTATAGAGGTCCTCGTATTTATAATCGATAAATAAAGTTGGTTAAAAAGTGTAAAATTGCTACAAGGTGTGAATGGATTTTATGATAATATACACAAGATAGTATTTTAAAAGTGAAAGCATTTTATATTGTAAATTGTAGTAGATGCTCTGCATGTATACCTGTATACGAATATTACTAGCAGGAGTAAATGGACCTACGATCCATAATATAGAAGTCCGATTATTGCTTTAGGGCAGATTTAATTGAAGTAGTGTACAGTACTTGATTATTATTATTGTACTATATATTACTTATGCGATTGTTGGTCTCTCATCCCCAACTCTATGAAATTAACTGCTTGCAAGTTGATAACAATGAATCAATTGAATATAATGTAAGTTCCATATCAGCTATATCTCCTAATATTACTTTTTAGGAAAACAGCGTTCTACGCAATTTAATGACGTTAGACAAAGTACAGTATTTTTTTTGTTCGGTTCAATAAAATCCGATAGCAGTAGCAATTGAAAATCAGGACCATGCATGGATATAATTGGATTGTGTATACAACATGAGCGCCAATTGAAGTTTAACATAGCCACAAAGTATCGTACGATTATGTTACGTATATGCCTACTGATACAAGTATATATCGCGTTTCTTAACCCTGTATAGTTTTTTTATCTACTTTTTAAAATGTTAGAACATTTTCAGTGTCCAAATTTTGGGAACAATTTTTTGTTAGATTCATTTGCAATAGGGCATTACTTGATTTGCTCAAATTAAAATCTGCTGCCAACAGCATCACGCACCCTCCCTAGATTACTAGAAATTAGCTAATAGCCAGTATGTCTATATGCTTATTCATACCGTATATACCGACATGATTTAGATTAATGATAGCAGCATATTCCATTAAATGCGTAAGTATATTGGCTGAGTTATAAATTATTGCCCCATACCTAACAATTTTTAATGCATTACTACGATACTTGTATGTTTTCCATGTTGTATATTGCATAAGCGGCGATAGTTAGCATGCTGCCGACTTAATTAAGGTTAACACTGAACCTTAAGACAGTATTGTTATTCTATAAACTATATTCATAAAAAATTTAGTACAATAATCAGCTTGGTGGTAAGATGGAGTAAATTATAAATAATATACAGTAATGTGTTCAACTATTTTCTAGGTTGAAAATCTCGGTGGATCATATGGAAGGCTGCATGATTAACGCTTAATTGAGTTAATAGCAACCTCCTACGTCCTACGTTTTTTTAGCTAACTAAATAAGCAATAAAATAACAAATATGGATCACACACTTTATGTACAACGCATCCGATTAATACAACAAATATACAGATTTATTTAGTATGAATATAACATCGCAATCATTGATTTCTTTCTGACATAAAAGCATAACTTGTAACAGGTGATAGGAATACATTAAGAAATTTATTTCGGTATAAACAAGGGTATAGTGTCAAGATAAGCACTTTCTATTAAGGTTTCAATCTACTCGAAAATTTAGGAGCTCTACCACGCGATGCTCTCGTACATGGATAAAAGAAGTCTGCAATTTGCAATAACTTACGCTGTACTGTAGTGTGAGAATGATGCCTAATGTATCGTTAGTACTGTACTTAGTACATAGATCGAGAATTTACAGCACATTGACATCAGTAAACGTTGCCACAATATGGCCATGCCATTTGATATTACGAAAGCATTGACAGTGCAAATATTCATACATTAAGTTAAATTAAGCATATCTTATACACCTCCAACACGAAGCGGTGGCGAGACCAAAATTACACCATCACCACGTACATATAACATTGGAATTTGTCTTTTGGAAGTCTTTAAATCGGTAAAAAAGTCAAGCGTTACTCAATGCCAACTAATACACAGTTTAACTAGTCGTTATGCTCAATTGACGTAAGAGAACAGATAAAAATACTACAGTTGGAAAAGGAGCAGTTATTAGTGTTCTAGAAATCTTCAAGTCTCCATCATTCATAAGCTTATGAAAGGCTAAACAAAATGCATTCGCATTGATTGTAAACGAATTACATTATTCTTTAAGAATAATCACTGCGGAAAACTATATAGAAGCGTATGCGACAATCATCGTACGATTTTAGAACGCTAATATTGTACAGTGCACCATCAAGATGTAGCAAAATTAGCGACTCTGTTCATTTAGTCTGGTCCTTTGAAGTGCAATCACTTTAGCGTACTGTACAAGTATGCATGTACAGCTAGCGTAAAACAGAGCATAATAATAAACTGAAAAATTTAGTATCGTTGAAAGCTAGTGCCGTATGCATCGTATACCTTATATAGTTCTTCAAATGTTTCATCGTCAATTTCTACAGTTGTGATCGTTTCTTCGACATCGCCTAATACCATGTTTAAATGTTGATCGTAGGCCTATCTCATCAAGATATCAAGAGGCGACAATTGTTAACAGTAGAACAGTGCAAGTCTATCATCTTATTGCTAAGGTCGAAAGCATAGAATTCCGCGACTGCATATTTTGGCTCCAAGAGAATCTTATGATTGAATACAAGACTAAGTTAGCAGAGCGCTAAGACAAGACAATACAAGACTAAGTTATCGGGGCCTGAGTTAACCCTTTAATTTCCCTATTCTTATTCTTCCTTGCTGCAATGATGGCAAAAGATCAACCAATGGACGTCAAAACATAGAAATTAGTCTTAAACTAGCATAAGATAGAAATGATCGAATGGTATAGTACTCTAGCATACATTAATTGGATCATGTATCGCATGATACCATCTAGAAGCCACGCATTATTATCCTCATGCAAGATGTCTAGTGTTGGTGCTTTCTACATGCTTGCAACGCTATTGCAGCTTCGACTGGCGCTTGGCCTGCCCGACATCATTAGCAACGACAGTACAGTAAGCTAGATATCATTCAGTTTTGAATAAAAACATACATGAAGTCTTCCCCGGAGTTCTCTATCATTTCTCATCTTGACTAAAATTCGTTCGTCCAAACTCAATCGGACCAAATCTAAAGGTTCTTCAACAGTATTGGAGGTTTCTTCGTTGGTAGCAACTTCCGCCATTTTGCTGACAGATCGGATTATGCGCAGTATCACTAATTGGTCTTGATTGCAGTCAGTTATAGTTACTATTGTATGTACTATTACAGTCAGACTCTATTGCTGTATAGTAGCCCATCCCATAGCTTACCTTCTATACAGTAAGCATTTGAAATTTTACTTACTCGTGTCCTGTATAGAACTATGCGCCGGCAGGAACGACAACTGTACTTTCTCTCAGTTTCAATAGTTTCTGACAGACCTAAGGGTACTGTACGATACATGACCAAAGGTAGAATATCATCGACTAGCGAAGGTCTGTTGCGCTGAGTCAATAAGTGGCGTCTTCATAGAGAAAAATAAAGAAAACTCATTTCTAGTACGGTAGAACATAGTGAACGCTACTGTATCGAACAGTATAGTCAGTAGAAAGTGACGTCAATATTCACGATCAATTGTAGAAGAAGACTTGGACTGATCACTCTCGGACGGACAGACATATTCGGTCTCTGCTCGACCAGAGAAATATTATGCCAAACACTTAGTTATACTGTACAGTACAGTAGTTATGGTCATACTTAAGTATGTGGATTGTGAATTGACCGATTTTTTCTCAATGAAGTCATATTACATTGAATCTGTTACTAAATTGCTGCTTGGAAATAGTGCTAAAAGATCGTCAATGTCATTTAAATTCACACCAGTAATTTCGAAAATCAAACACGAAAGGCTCATACTAAGTAGTCATTTTTGGACATAGACGGCCTGATTGAGTCGAAACATCCGTCCGTCTGATGAGAATCCTCGTCACGGTACGGTACGGTACAGCTGGTGTACCAGAAGGACTTACTTGCACCGTCAGTCCGATACCATAGAGATTTCGCTTTCAACTCGAGGAAGAAAGCTGACAAAGCTAGTCTGCATTTGCCAGGTTCCCTTTAGGAATGAATCATTCAATCTTTTGGCATCCACAAGATTGCTAAAGTAGAAAAGTTAGTAAACGAAGAATCTCATGATTTAAGGGGCAATAAATTGATTATTACACGTATACTACAAGCAAGAAATTGGCAGTTGTTGACGTTGAAAAGGCGATTGTTGAACGATGGATGAAAAAGTACTTGAGGAATTCCGAAATGATCGTAAGCATTCAATAAATTTGGATAAGAACTTTAACAAATCGTTACAATTTAAGCAATCATCAATGAATAGTCACTCTATTTTCCATAGGAGCTTATGAAATTTTCCTAAATGAAGAATTTGATGCCAAACAGTATGCAAATATCATTATAGCAAGCCAAGAGATTAATGACTCTTTGCAGAAATTATCTGCTGGAATTAACACGCTCGATCGTGAACTTCATTCTCAGGTTTGATAGATAATTGTAAACGAACTCGGATTCATCAATAAATAAGTCATACTCTTTATTAATTTTATTCCCTTAATGATGACAGAAAGAATAGCATGGCTACTAGACTTCATTGAATACTTGCTATCAACATTGACATTGATATCGTAATTGTTGTGTTATTAGGTCGTAGCACATCATGATGATTTACTCTCTCAAGCGACTAGTATTGAAGCTCTAGAAGGTATCTACAAAAATTGTAGTATCGATGCTGTTCATGCTATAAATGCTTTTAGGATACAATAATCAAGGAAAGAATACTGTAATATCTAATAGTAGTTGTAGATGGCTTAAAGATACAATTAAAAATAGCGCACTCCATGATGATTCTGTTATAAACGATACTTTGACTAACCACTGGATTCTGTGAAATAATCAGGTGTTCTGAAAATGATGCAAAGTAGGATAGAATCATTACAAATAACCGTTGGCAGGTAAAATTTTACTAGTACTTGAAAGCTTTAGCTTCACTTGTTCGTGTCTTTAGCTTAGACTTGATTAATACCAACACCAGCTTTATGACGCATGTAACTGACGAGATCGTAAAATAACAAAGACAAGTTCTGAAAGTTGTTAATGAAATACCGATAACAGTGTGCACATACAATATTAATTAATTCAAATACCAAATACTTTGATGTCGATATCATCTATATTCTACTACCATTATGACAGAATACAAAAAAAGGTTGTAGATCCTTACAAGATGATTTCATCCCGCACTGCCCAACTGCGCAATCTGCAGGTATTTCAAACGAACTAGCTAATTCATCCATTTCACAGGCTGCACCTGTGCGTGTATCATATAGTTCATGACTGTACATTTGTGACTACGCAGTGATGTTATCTTTAGGAACATAAGGTTATCCGATATTTGTTTTGCTACTAAAGGGACATGCAATTAACGGTGATATTTACAGACACTCATATCAATGCTTAATTGCTATTTTTAGATTGCCTGCGATATTTTACGATGTGTCATTCGAGTCTTATATTTATCACGCCGCTTGGACGGTCAACTTCAAGGTGGACTAAAAGAGCTAACCAATGCTGCGCAGAGTTTAAATGAACTTGGTAACGTTTATTAATGCGTCTGTAATGAAATTGTAGTTTACAGTATATTGATGTATCCATAACGCTGTAGAGTACCTCAACATTAAAAAGTGAAAATACATCAAAATGCGATTCGATCAGTTATGGATAAAGTCTAGACGTTAATAAACTATATTCAAGATTACTATATCATAAAAGGCTAAAGTTATCTTACATATCTTCTTTGCCTAATACTCTAGATTATTTATATAATAGCATGGATCTGACTGACATTCAGGTAATTGAACTTACTAATGTTCTCGTTTCATAAATTGTATCATACTTGTAAGAAATAGATTATAATTAGTTTTCAAATAATACTATTCTACTGCAGATGATTGAACAAGATAAACAAAAGATTGAGAAAGCTCGTCAAAGTATTGAAAATGAAGCTATGTTAGTGTTAACCGATGGGATGAAATCGCAAGTAAGTCTACTCGAGAATCTTAATAAGCTTTATTAAGGCAGCGTTAGTATTGATAATCTTAGCAATAATGCGTAAGCGAATTATCGACTTGAAAATTTTAGAATCAGACTAAAGTAGCTACCGGATTGCAAGTGTTCCATAATCTACAAAAGTTGCAATTGATCTTGCAAAAAGTGATTGAGAAATCCTGCAACAATTTAGAATCATGTGTTTGTGAAACACTCGATCCCAATACCCATATCCAATCACGTTAGTATGGCATAATAATGCTATAGCACGAATGTCTTGCATTAAAATTCAAATCAATAAATACTTTTAGTCTATTATTTAGTCTATATTTTTATTGTTACTTAATAATTACGATTGTAGGTAGCACTGGTCCTGGACGTGCAGTGATGCCAACGCCAGGGAATGCTGCAGCTTGGAGGGTATCGCTATGGCAAGGCATGGAGAAGTTGATGGGAAATATATATGAAACTTGTGTACAGGTATGTTTCACTATAGTCACTAACAGTTGTTGTTATTGATATATCTTAGGCATTACTTCTTTTCTAGATGTCCGTGTTAGAAAAAGTGTTATTTAAAAAAAAGGATCCTGTAACTCATCTATGCTTTATTGAAGAATTACTAAAGGTAAGTAAGTTGAATTTATCTCTGTCGGCATCCTAGAGCTGCATGCAGTTTAAAAATGTCGTTTACAATGTTAACTGTAGGACGGACATCCAACGGTTATGGCTGCATTTTGGAAAAAAGTTATTTTTATTTTAACGCACGAACTAAGTAGAGCAACCGAAGGTATATTAAACTGTAGCAATTATTCAATTCGCAGAATATATAGGCATAGTTATGCAGTACTTGATTATTTGATCCGCAATTTTAGATAATACATTTCTAAAGCAAACATTTGAAAGTGAATATCCCAAATTACTGAGATTCTACAACGATTTATGGTCGAGATTGAAACCCTATAGTGTAACTATAGATCAGGTGACGACAGTACGTTTAGGAAGTGTCGACTATGACAATTCAGTTTTTTCAGTACCGCTAATAACTCCTGTCATGGGAAAGGATGACGTTTTCAATTTTCCGGCGGAGAATGAGCTGAAGTAAATATTGCTTTTAAGTTTATAAAATGCTAATAATTGTCTTATATTCATGCACAGTTCTGGAGGAGAGTGACTGTTATCCTTTTTCCAATACCTTTAGCCCAGAACTGGCTTTGCGAGATTCTTTATCGTCATTCGAGAATGCTTATCTTACTCGTTCATTGTCGCGTCTGTTCGATCCTATCAACACCTTTTTTCCTGACACTGCAAAGGAGCCACCGAAACGTGAAGAATTAACAAATATCGAAAAGACTGTTGCTAAGTACGTGTTACTATGCTATACTAGGCTTGCTACTGTTAGCTAATGAATGGTTCCAAGAACAACATTTTATTTAGTCATTTATTATATATTTATCTTTTTGACAGTGAACTAAATGCCGCAAGTGTAGATACAAGACTAAGTTTAGCAATTGCGAAGAATGTTTCAAAAACTATAAGACTTTATTGCGCTAAGTGTGAACGTCTGGTATATATGTCTTTATTACTTTGACTTACTATTTCTCTATAGTTATCCTTTGTTATATTTTTGTTTTATCTCATTTTTCTTTTATAGATCGTCACAAATTCCAATGCAGTCCAACTAACCGCGGCCATGACTGGAGCTCAAACCCGTAATGCGACGGTCATAAACAGCATTTACTATTTGTGTACTGCAGTTTCTAAGGTGCTTAGTTTTATAAATTTGTTTGTTGTCGTGTGTGCTACTGTGATTATAATTAGTCTTACATTCAAATTAGGTAATTCATTCCGGTAATTTCGCTCCCCAGACCATCGAAGTAGTTGAACCCGCAATACAAGTAATTATAGAAAATATGATATAAATATTGTATTGTGTTGGTATTAGAATGTGTAACTAAGCATATTAGTCTTTCGAGGTACCATTTTCATCGAAACCTATTAACTTTTAGAGTGCTTTAAACATGATCAAAGAGGCTGTAGAACCATTAGTTAAGGCTATGTCAAAAACAATTGAAGCTATGATTTTAAAAATTCATCAAGAAGATTTCGCTAGGTTTGGTATTTTAATTTATAATTATCTTTCAATGTAAGACTAAACTTAGGGTAAAAATATTATCAAGATGATTTTAATTATCGAATCAATATTTTAATAGCGAAAAGACAGAGAATCAAATAGCCAAATCTGAGTGTTCCTCTTTTATCAAGGATATCCAGGTCTCGGAAACTTCAAACTATACCGACATAATTATATAGTTATTATAACTTGCTACTATCAAGTTTAATCCTAAATCCTTACTTATATAGAGATTTACAGATCGGATTAAAGGAGATTATCTTGCCAGATTAGATTGCATCGAGATAGTAGATGAAATGTTTGTATTATCAATTCAGTTCTCCCTACTGCAATATAATCTTTTAATCTAAGTGAAGTTCAAACTCTTTCGTTATGGTAGGCTTAATTCTTTGGCAAGTAGAGTACTTGAACTATTTATCCGACACATAAGCTTGGTTCGCCCTATATCTGACGCTGGTAAACTGAAAATTGCAGCAGATATGGCCCAGGTGAATAACATGCAAGGGCAATAATATTTTATATTGACATATGCGGTGAGATTTACCGATTTAAATAATATCTGTATACCTATGCATAGATGGAATTAGCAGTTGGCTCGATATGTACTAAGCTTTCTGAGTTGGGAAAAAGCTACAAAGTCTTAAGATGCTTTAGGCCATTGCTCTTCCAAACACCAGAACATATTCTAGGCAGTCCAGCTTTAGGAGAGAATCTACCATATTTTTTAGTATTAAATTTTCTATATTCTCGAGCACCGCCTAAACTTCCTTCGCCCTACAAGGTTATACATATTAATTTTCGAATGGATATGTAAAAAAGTTATCTTGGCTGAATTTTTACGCTTATTGTTACCCTGTTGATCGATATGAAGTATTTATTACATTCTTAGGCTTCTAAATGGACGGAAAAGGAGTACTCAGAATGGATTGACAATCATCCTGACGAATCGGAAAGATTAGGTTTAATCAGGTATGGTTTACGAATGTATCTTACTGATAAGTAAACTACTTCAATAATATATAACCTAATACCTGAAATTATCCCCTATCCGATTATTTTAGAGAGACACTGGATAATTACATCCAATCCGTAAGAGTCTCGGATAATAAAGTGCTCCCGCCAATTATTGTAGTCATGCAGAAGATTCTTCTTAAAGCTAGTTCTCATCGGCGTGGCCGTTTTACTACTGGCATACTGGCATCACAGATGTCTCTAGACAGATGAAATGATCAATTTTCTAACTATTATTGAGTAACCGTAACAATATTTATTACTGACAATAAAAAAATTATTTATTGTTACGTTATGTACGATTTCTATAGATACACACGTACGGTAGTACTATTACGATGCAGGAACCTATTATTATCCATTTAACAGCTAAAGTTGATAATATTCAGCAAGAATTGTACAGCGAAATAGAATATAACGATAATACCTCTATGAGATGACCACAAGATCTTAACAATAGCATTAAAGCTCTTTAATCTTTATATGAAAATATTATTATTGTCATTAGAAATCATAGCGAATAGATGAGATCTTTTCTCTTCAGATGGCTTGAGTTTTAGTCTATCGATATCATAATGTACTTATACTTTACGCTCTGTAGTATGTAAATAATATTCTAATTCGCATTTGTTATGTCCGAATACTATATATGAATGTATTGGTTCCTTTAATATTTTATATATAGTTTTGATTGACAAGAATTAGTTTAAATACTTTAACTTGTAGCTGACTAAAGAAATTACCGGTTAGAACTAAAGAGTGCGGCCATGAAGCGTATCGAATTACTTGTATATTCCTATTATAGTAAGTTTTCGAGTATGATTTCAAAACTATGTATAAAACTGCATGATGATTTCATTCTATCGCCATTCCTTTAGATCGTCTGGTATAATTTAATTTAATTTAAATAATCCGTATAGCAGGACGAGTAGTAACAGAATACACATATACAGTATATTGCTGTCTCTCATAAAGCCGTCATGTGATGATCATGGCAGACAGCATTTCACATGCTGCATCATTGCAACACCAAAATAGGATAGTTAGGTAAGGGCTATCACAGCTTTCATAATTCTAATCATATAGATAAAATCTGCCTTTCTCCGTATTACCTCCGTGATTACAATGGCCAAGGTAGTAGTAATTGTAATTAGAGCAGCCACCTCAGCTTTCAACCACTACAGAACATTAGTCTGCTACTACTATTTACATAGCCAATATCATACAGTCTGCATGAAAGGCTGAATAAGTACATTATAAAGGACCCTATAACAATCAACACCTTGACATTCTAAGGTAGAACCGCCTGAATATTACGTCATACCGAAACCAGGTACTACTTCCTATTGCAACTATAGAAATAGAAGGGAAAGACCCCCCCCCCCCCTTGAAAGTAACCCTATAGCTGTAATTAGGGACTCTTCGGAACAGTATGGGATCCGTGTTGTAGACGTAGAGCCGAATATTGTTTACACCGCTTAAACTAAAATCTTCAAGTCTTTGTATAGTATAATTTAATGTCAATAAGTGTATATGAATAATACTTAATTATAAAAGTGCTGACCTATGCAATTTTTAAATAAAAAAGTTGGTTATATGGACTCTCCATTTATTTACAGTTAGATATCATTTAGTACTCTTAATCATATTTCCTCCTCCTGTTTTCATCAATTTCATCGTAAGGAGCATTCCTACGTTTAATTATTCTTTATACAGCAAATTGAATTCGATTTTTCGATATCTAGCGTATAAGATTGTCGCTTGCTGAATAAGCTAGCCTTCAAATCATCGATAGAGATATGAAGTATCAACGAGTGTCCGAATGGTTTTGTTGGTTTCTTGGCATTATCCTTCTATCAAGTCAGCTAGGATTAATTTGCGTTTTTTTCCGGATGTATGTTAATCCATACTGGTTATTATGGTGGGGTATACCTGGAGGTATCATATTGATCTATTGGTTTATCGTTACCTGCAGACCTGTTAAATTTGCAGACCGAAATAATAATAGCTGCACCGGTAAAAAATGTATATGCTATATATTGTCGCCCTCTTATGTTATCTGGTTGATCTATAGCTTAAACTTAGTAGCTCAAGTACTAGCACTTTTTATTAAAGTAACTGATCTATTAGATGCGAAATCATTTTTCGGTCCAAGAGTGCTTAAACTAGTACTAAGCATTACCCCATTTTTATTTACAGTGTTTGTTTATACCTATCATGATAGAAATGAATCGCAATCTAATAATTATTACATAAATTGTGCAGTTTATGAAGTAGGCTTAGATCTGTTCGATGGCGTGGAAATGTTGGAAAATTTATTTATCCATAGTAAGGAATTTAATATTTCTTCAACCATGAAGTGGCTAATACTAATCTTTTCTAGTATTAACTTCATTTTACCAACATTTGTATTATACGATTTACGCCGAGAAATACGCGGGTCACACCATTATGTAAAACTTAAGACTGCTTACCAAATATTTAGTTGGATTATAAATGTATTTTACTTGGTTATGAGAGTGATCTTGTGGCGTAATTATAACAAAGATATTTCAGTATTGTTTATGAAAAATATTATGTTGCTCACATTCCGTAGTAATGAATTGTTGCGTTGTTGCTGCGAAAGAAGTCGTGATGCATCCCCTTATGTGGTGTAATAAATATGTATTTTTACCGTATTTATGTTAGCATAGAGTAAATTTTGTTAGCTATTCTATTTTATTAATTCGAATAAATATGATAATGGACGTTAATGCAATGATGATACGAATGTATAAATAGGCGTATTGAAATTAATATCACCTTTGTAGAATGACCTTTTAAATGGCCAGTAGATGAGATTATACGTTAAGCAAGATTTGTTGAGATTAATGCGCGGATGAGTACAAACTCCATAATAAGCTAGTAGATATTACAGTATAGATTTAAAATAAAAGTTTATTCATCAAGCATTTATAAATTTAGACTAAAATCATTTCAGATAAATAAAAACAGGAAAATAAGGGAAAGGATGTAAAAAAGCCTATCTAGAAGATACAAAGTTAAGAATAAGTCCGGGTGTTAGACTACAAACATGTAGATTACCATCTTGTAGAAGATAGTAACTATTGATTGCCTATAATGCTTATCAATAAAGCTTTTTCTTAGCTAGACTAAAATTGTAGCTAATTTAATTTATTGTATTGATAATTTAGTTCCGGTATAGAAAGAATGGACTTTATAAGATATATTCAATGATGTAAAAACGTTGGAGAATTTACTTGTTGATGGTGAAGGATTTAACGTTCACCTATCCATTAATAAAGCAGCTGATATTAGTCTTTTCTAATATTAACTTTCTTTTACCTATAATTGCACTACACGATTTATTCGTACATATGCGTGAATTGCGCCGCCTAATCAAGTAATATTAAAGACGATTTATAAATTATGTAGTTTATTTGTACTAAATATACCTTACTTGTTTATAAGAATACTAAAGAACATAAATACTGTATGGTAATCTATTACGCCTCTAATAGCGGTTGTTATTGTCATCAATCGCACAATAAACTCGTTAAAAATTAAATGCTTCAGGAAAGTTACTTTCGTTACCATAAATAAAAGGTGTGCAACGTGGGCTTACCCTAATTGTTTATAAAAATGTGATTACAACTGCATTTAATAGTGACGAATTATTGCATCATTGCTTCCAAAGAGATATGTGTACTTCCTCTTCAGTGTAGTACATCAGCTACTACACGATATCCAGATGAGCGTACCTCACAGTGTTAGATCACTGTAAAGTATCAATTTATGGATTGATTATTATACAGTAGGCAGCTTATCATTAGAGTTATAGAATTGTAAAACTATTTTATTTTTCAGTAAGGATAAGTGAATTAATTTAGATACCTAATTTATAAAAGGACTCAAAAGTCAGATCATGTTCTGATCGTGACTAATCTTGCCTTATATGTATACTCTAACTTACTTTTAAGTAGAGCTAAAAGTTACACGAATTTAGATCTAAGAATGTACGACAGTAATACCTATTAGTTAAAACACAAATAATTTCATTATTATTACTGTATAAAAATATATGTACTCTTCGCAGGCGACATGATTTGATACTTTATTCTTTATTAATTTTTTATAATAAGATTTTAATTGGTAATTTGATGATATTTGGCTAAATAGATAAATCATAAGATAGTAAGTTGTGAATTTATCTATAGAATGAATATTAAGTAAATTAAATTATTTCTAACTTGTTACTTCAAAACAGTTTGCAACACATAATCACATTACTTACATCATACAATTAGTTATACTGTGATTTTTTCTTTAGTAACATAATTGTATCTCACCAATTAAGTTACAAGATCAGTTCTAAACTTACTTTCAAGTGATTTATTCTTAGTCTGCGCTTCTAATTAAAGTGTCATAAAACAAACCCCACTATAATCACATGCGTAATTAGCATAACTTATTTACTGTATGTCTCGGAATCTTAATACAAACATGTCAATAGAATTGCTACAATACGTACTGTAATCATCTTCTACGAATAGACACTTGGACAATCTTACAATCAAACGTTTAATCTATCTATTTTCGTCCAATTCTATTATTTTAATCTTAAGCTAGTTTATGACTAAAGTACAGTTATACATTATTCCTGTACTATAAAGTATTATTACGACACATAGATCTATTTTTATTCATCTGATAGTTAAAGTTGATTATATTGGTCAAGAATTGTACAGTGAAATAGATTATAACAATAATATTAGCTTGAGACGACTACAAAGATCTTAATAATAACATTAAAGCTCTTCAATCTTTTACGTTAAATTGTTATTATTGTCATTGGAAGTCATAACGAATAGAGAGACCTTTGTAAAGAACTAAAGAGCGCTTGTATGAAGTGTGTAAAATCGCTTATATTTCCAATTACAGTAAATTTTATAGGATAACTTTTAAAACTACGTATAAAACTGTATGATGATTTCGTTCTATTGCATTCCTTTAGATTGTGTACAATTGTAATTAATAGAGTAGCCTTTTCAGTCTTGATACTATAATTTGCATAGCTAGTCTCACATAATGTTTATGAAAGTCTATACATAGACTCTGTGACCGAACTTTGACATTCTAAGGCAGACCCACTTGAACATAAAGTCATACCAAATCCAGGGACCAGTTCCTACTGTAACTCACAGACTTAGAAG